CCCCCCCGGGGCCCCCGGTGGGGGCCCCCCAGGGGGGCCCCCAGGGGGGCCCCCCGGGGCCCCACAGGAGGGGCAGAAAGCCTTGCATGCCTTTTCAAAGTCGAGGCGAATCCACTGGAGAGCTTGGCTAGCTCGCAGGGAGCTGGTGGCTAGCTGGCTAGCCAAAAGCTCGAGGCTGCGAGAAAGAGAAAAGTGAAAGAAATGGAGGCGGGCTTTGCGCGCGGCCAAGTCGCTGGGGTGTACGTACACCTCAGGAATGAAGCGCCCGCGTCTCTCCAGAAAGGCCGCAGCCGCGTCCACAGCCAAGTCCCAACGGCCTGCAGCAGCAGCAGCAGCAGCAGCAGCAGTAGCAGCAGCACAAGCAGTAGCAGCAGCCGTAGCTGCAGCACTTTTTCCGCGTTAATGCGTTAAACCCTAAACCCTAAACCCTTTTCCGGGCGCCTCTCCCCCTCCACTGTCTGCCCAAGACCCGCAGCACAAGATTAGGGTTTAGGGTTTAGGGTTTGGGGCACCTGCTGCTGCAGTGGCTCGAACCGCGAGCTCGAGGAGCCTGGCTGCGTGCGTGCAGTTTTGCTGCTGCTGCTGCTGCTGCTGCTGCGTGAGGGTTTCGGGTGTATGTACACCTGGCGTTTGCAACTTCAACCAAAATAAAAACAAATTTATTAAACTTCTCGAAAATCTAACTCGAGCAAACAGCAGCAAAAGCGAAAACGCCACAGGGAAAGGCAGCAGCACCTGCCGGCAAAGCGACAAGTCCTGGGAAGCAGTCTGAAGCAAACGCAGCAGCAGCAGCAGCAGCAGCGGCGGCTCCTGTTGTCTGTAGACGAAGGGGAAATTCAAGCCCAGACTGAGCAGCAACAGCAACAGCAACAGCAGCAGCAAGCACACAAGCAGCAGCAGCAGAGCAGCAAGCAAACAAGCAGCAGCAGCAGCGCAGCAGCAAGAAAAGAGAAGAGGTAGTGGCAGCTGCGTGCACATCAGCAGCAGCAGCAGCAGCAGCAACTGCAGCAGCAGCAGCAGCACCAGGTACCTTGATGAGCAGCTCCACAATAGCCTGCACAGCTTCTGGGTTTCCTTTTGCTGCTTCGAATTCTAAAGCAGCAGACCAAAGAAAAGGAGACAGCCGAAGTAAAGCAGCAGCATCTGACCCGCAGTCCTTCAAAAAGGAGTCCACGCAGCCTTTCTGCTGCTGCTGCTGCTGCTGCGAATCGGGCTGCTGCTGCTGCGCTTGTGGCGGCACGGGCTCGGGCTGCTGCTTCTCTCGCTGCTGCTGCTGCTGCTGCTGCTCTTGCTCGGGCTCAAGCTGCTGCATGGGTTGCGCATGCTGGCCATGGTGCTGCTGCTGTTGCTGTTGCTGGCCTTGCTGCTGCTGCTGCTGCTGCTGCTGCATGTGTTTGTAGAGTGTCTGTATGGCTGCGACTCCGCCGAATTTCCTGACGAGGGTTTTTGCGATTTGTTCTTCGTCAGCTCTCTGCAAAAACAAAAAATAAAAAAAAATAAATCCAATTAAATCATTCTTAAAATTGAATGATTTTTCAAATCAAATGATTTTAAAATGAAGACCAACACAGCAGCGCCACTGGCTCAACGTGTATTTACACTGCAGCTGCAGCTGCAGCCGCAAAGGCTGCTTCAGCAGCAGCAGCAGCAGCA